GGCCGGGCGGGGGCGGAGGACGCGCTCCAGGCGATGGCCGGGGAGCCCCGGAGGCGTCGGCGGGATACAAAGGAGCGGCGAGAGCGGAATATAAATTAATAAATACAGCGCCCAAGCCGGAGAGCTCCCGATCGCCAATCCGCCTGCAGCAAGTTTGTTCAACTCTAAAGGCTGTAACCAGAGCCAGGGAAAGGGGGTGGGGCGGTGAGGCCCCCGCTCCCTGAGACTGGAAAAGAGAGGTTCGTGAAGCTAGGGATTCAAGCACGTTGGCTGCCCCAGCAGCCCATTTCCCCACCCAGCCCCTCACCCCTTGGCCTTGACCGAAAGTGTTTTACCACGTCTACCGCTTTGTCATTTGTCAGCAGGCACTACAGCTGTTTTCTAAAATCATGCTTGTGAGGGGGAAAAAAAGGCATCGTTCATGCTGGTACAGAAAGGGCTCTTTGTTCATACACCAGTTTGCTAATATTGCCCCGGGGGGGGGATTATTTACTATTTCCAGGTATGTTATTTACTATTTCAAGGTATATTTGGCATATTTTACAAAAAATGGCAGGATTTTAAGTGCCGAGGTTCTTACTGTGATTTTAAACAAGTTATGCGTGAGGTTTTTAATGCATTTACAAGCTAAATGCTATTTGGAGATTTTTCAGTACACATTATGGCTACATATTTCATGATAGCTCCTCAGACCAACTGCAAAAATAATGTTCATGCTAATGAAAGGATACTTCAGATTCCTTCATGATAAGGCATTAAAGTAAAGGTTACAATGTCCCTAAAAGGGCCTCAAACTACCTCAATACAAATGAACACTGAAATCCACTAATACCGGAAAGGGCCAGAGGTTACTCTGGGCTCAGCTTCTCCATAAACATGAAAATTCTTACAAGTGCTCTCTGTTGAAAGAATTCTTGTTTATCTCTTTATTCATTTATTTTGCCCTGCTTTAAAATTTTGCTGCTGCTTTTTCTCAACAGAGCTATTATGAGGGTATGAAACTGGAGGTACTGAGTAGGGGAGTGAAAAGGCTAGGGTAAGAGGCCTTTGGAATGTGAACAACTTTTTGTTATGGGCCCTCGTTGCTCAGATGCAAGTAGTGTGATATTTCTTATGCTCGGATAGGGTATTCTAGGAGGCATTCCTCCTGTAGTCACCGATTTTTAAAAAATATAATTTCCCTTGGCACTCAGTATAATTTCTCTTAGTCTCCAGAACCTAAGCCATCCTGAAATATTTAAAAGTACAGGATCACTTTTTCTCTTGGGTTAAAAGAAAATATATTTTCTCATAGTCCTCTCCAGTAATCACAAGTCAAAAACAAACACACATAATAGATGAATGGATAAAAAAATGTAATATATACATACAATGAAATATTATTCAGCCTTAAAAAAGAAAGAAATCCTGTCATATTTTACAACATGAATGAATATTTAGGGCATTATGTTAATGAAATTAGCCAGTCACAAAAAGACACTGTATTTTCCCACTTATATGAGGTAGCTAAGGTCGTCAAACTTTTAGAAACAGAAAGAATGGTGGTTACCGGGGACTGGGAAGAGGGGGAAATAAATTGTTCAATGAGTGTAGTTTCAGTTTTGCAAGATGACAAAGTTCTAGAGATATGTTGTAAACAAGGTGCATATAGTTAACAGTACTGTAATGTACACTTAAAAGTGATAAAGATGCTAAATTTATGTTATGTGTTTTTACTACAGTACCAAAAAGGGGGGGTCGGGGGAGGCGAACACTGGGAATTGGCAGGAAGGGAGATAGCATGCATTTTCTTCCTCGGTTATTGAGTATGTAAGCCAGACCTGTGCTGAGTATGCGTGGGAGATACCAACATACCTAAGACTCAGTCCTTACCCTTGAGAAGCTTAATCTCTTATTAATGGTCACTCTATTGTGAATATTAATGCACCCGATCCTTTTGAAAACATGCTGGTTCCTTAAATAATTATAATATATGCTAATGAATCTAGTAATAGAGGTAGGTACAACGTACAAGGATAAAGTCCTGTGAATATTGAGATCTGTGTCTTCAGTGTCATCAGAATGAAGTTAATAGAAGAAGTCAGCATTGTCTTAGGTCTTCGAAGATGAGGAGCTTGCTAGATTTGGAAGAAGGGCAGGTTGGAAG